TTACAACAAAATTGAACTATGACTTATGATAGTAATTTTTTATGTAAAATCGTCCACTGAGTCCGAAAATTAAGTCCAAAATACAAAAAGTAGAACAGTTTTTGAGTTATTGCGAAATTAGCGTCTTTCGTGTATCGCGAAAAAACGTTTTCATTATATTCTAAATATCTTTAATTGCATTCAACCGATTTTCATTTTTTTTACATAAAATTAAACAATATTAAATTACCTATAACTTTTATCTTAAACAATTTTTTATTTGACTTTTTTGTCGTTTGCTANAAAAGTAGAACAGTTTTTGAGTTATTGCGAAATTAGCGTTTTTCGTGTACCGCGAAAAAACGTTTTCATTATATTCTAAATATCTTTAATTGCATTCAACCGATTTTCATTTTTTTTACATAAAATTAAACAATATTAAATTACCTATAACTTTTATCTTAAACAATTTTTTATTTGACTTTTTTGTCGTTTGCTATCGACGAATTTACCACTGAATTTTTATAATTTTTTTCAAAATGTCAGAAAAAATTCAGAGTTTTACGTAAAATACACCATTAAAAAATAAATTTATCAACAATAATTTTAATAGACGTTATACTCTAATACATAACAAAGAAAATGATATATTATTTTGTAAAATTGATAAAAAAATGAAGAAGTTATGCGCGATTGAAAAATAAAACAAATTTCCTAATATCAGAGTTTTTTAATTCGATGCTTTTATTTTGTAAAATATAGACAAATTACTCACAATATTACTTTTCAAAACAAAATTTCGATTTTTTAAATAACCTAAGGTTATTTCCTTCAAAATGAAATTTAGAATTACGAACAAAAAAACTTCGCCTTGGCCTCACTGCTCATCACTAATTGGTAGCACTGTACCTTTTGTCATTTGAAATAAAACGGATAAATTTATTTTGGTCATATTCTATATTCTATTAATATATTCATTTTTTCTAAGATATTTAAATAATTCATATAACTATTTTACGTTTATTCTTAATAAAGATAAAAATGAGTTCGAATAAACGTCAATATAAGTGTAAGAATAACCCCAATAAATTTTGTTATGCGTGTGGCGAATATATTTTTGTTAATATAGTGAATAGCCCGAATCAAGTAATCATGCCGACTGTAAGACTAACATTAGTTTTAAACTTGTTATATCTTGTTATCTGATGAATAACAAGCTTACACCTAACGAAGATCAACAAAATTTCTTACCTAAAAAAAATACAAATTAAAACTTAAGAAACACATTAATAAAGTAATATTTATATTAAGCTTTATAAATTATAATTATTGTTTAGTATAAAAGTGGGCGTAATAATTTTAACGTTTTTATTCGATTATTATCTAACAGTGATTCTTAAATATTTAGTTTTTATTTTGTATATTACTTTAACGTTATTTTACTATTTTATTATTTTACCGCGCAAATGTAAAGGAATGTTATGATATTATTTGAATTAAGTAAAATTAATTAAGTCTTACTTAATTAAGTAAAATTCAACTAACGAACATAGAGCGATTTCCTTATTATTTTACGAGTAAAATAATATTTATTTGTATACAACAATAGTCTGACATAGAAGACACCGTAGGCCATTTTTAGCGGCGATAACGTTAAGTATACACTACTACTATGTTGTAGAGGAGGCGCGAGAAAAAATGTGTTCAAAAAAATCAACCTGCAACCGTGAAACCCATTAGAAATTCGAACAAAAACAGATATGATCTCGTTATGTCTACATATTACCCGAATGTAAAGTCGGATGCCGCTCATAATTCTTCGACAGCAACAATTAAAAATAATTTACATATTATTCTTATACTCGTTATTCACCCACCTGTTATTACGATGCATAAATTTACATGTCTTTATAACGTAGTATTAAAAATAAAAGTTTAAAAATGATTTATGCAGCGGACACCAGCAAAAATTACAATTGGTAACATAGACTTAACAGTTTTTGTGTCGGTGAAGGCCCCACGCCCAGAGTAAAACCTCTATCTATATAATAAATTCATTGTTCAATTTGATAAATATATCATTACTATTGAACCTATGATATATTTATCAATATGATAATCTTTTTTCTTGTCTTGAACAATAATTATTTATAAGAATAGTTATTTTGTTCGTATTAATAAAACATTATCATAAACCCTTGATAAAATTTCTCTATCAAAATTGATTGAGGTTTTTCTTTGGGTGCAGGTGGCTATATATGTTCGGCATTCATTTATCATTAGTACACACCGAAGTCGTCACTGATAAAGATCAAATCAATCGATAACCAACATATGACAGCGATCGATTGAGCTATTTAAAATTATTCACACTTAAACGTATAGCGAAAAGTATAAATACACATTTAAACCCTGCACTGTCTTATAATCAAATTTATACGAGACCAAATTAAATCCTACAAGTTCGAAAATATATAATAGATTTAATTACAACTCGGTTAAACACTAAGACCAATTCTATATGAATCGCTAACTGCAGAAACGGGACAAGTACACTTTTCCTAATTTTTCAGAAATGATGAAAAACTGAACAACTTATGAAATGTTAATGTAAAAACTTCGAATTTTTAGACTCTATATTTAATTAAATCATAATTTCATTTAATTTGTAAAAAAAAAGTTTTATAACTTTTTTTTAATTAATAAATTTAAGTTATGGACATGTTTCCTTTTTGCAGAAAACATCGTTTTCAAATCTTATTTATCGATGTAGGGAGAGAAACACTATCAAAATATGCAAAATATTATTTTTATTCATCAATTTATTTTTACCAAATATAACTTATGTTATTATTAAATATAAATATAAAATAATCACAATAGCCTTTACAATTACTATAATATAAAATTATATAATGACGTAATATACTTGTTCATCAATTTATGAATATAATAATTATATTTCAATTATTGAAATATATAATAATTTCATCAATTAAATTTTGCCAATATTTTGTGTTTCTTAACAATACTTAACAAACATTTTTCTAGTGTTGTAGATTGATATGGTTTAATAATGATAATAGATATTTAATTACTCAGTTTGGTGGTACTAAATTATTAATTAGAATACTCTAATATGTTATATGCTGACTATACTATCTAGAGTAATCAGACAAATTGGTTTGTATTTTATTTTTCAATGGGTTTTCTAAGCCTAAGCTATGATAACTTTTAAATACAAAATTTAGTTTAATTATTAGCAAAATAAATTTTATTTGATGCAAACTTTTAAAGATTGAACACTGTTTTAATTATAATAATCTCAAATTATAAAATTACATTTATTATTTATAATAATATGCTATTAAGACCACTAAATTCCATCATTTTTTTAATTTATATATAACGTGATGTGTAAAGTGTAAAATTAACACTTATAAACATCGACTTTAAAAGTTGATAATATTAAAGTATATTTCACACTTATTTTACACTTAAATATATTAATAAAATACCAATTAACAGTGAATATTTATAGCCTAGAAATATTACTTCTTATTATTCATTATTACAATCATTAAGATTGTAATAATAAAAATTTTTACCTGCAATATTTTACTAAATAACTCGTTTTTATAAAATATAACAGAGTATCTTGAAACGTAATAACAGATCAACCAAATTGTTAAAATTATGATTTAGCAATTACTGTTTAGAAACGAACCCAATTCTAATAGATTTAAATTTGTATTTATAATAACTAATTTTAAAAATGAGCAACTTTTAATTTGTTTCTAATTATGAGAAAAGAAAACAGAATTAAAATATATTGATAGTATAAGTCATAAAGTCAATTATGATTTATACACAACGTGTCCCATTAGATTTTGATATATTTGATAACTATTGATGCTGCAAATATTTTGGATTACTTATTTTTAAAAATAATTTTTACAGTTTTGGACATGAGCTTTACCGTCTTGCGATACTAACCACATTAATGTATTAAAATGCTTATAATTCAACAAGTAATTATTACTGATGGTCATATTCGAATATTTTAAACTATCGAATAGTATACAATAGTTTTTTAAATCTATTGAGTAACTATTAGAATAGTTTTTATACAACCTAATAGTTTATTTTTAGCATAAACTATCGAATATTTTAAACACTTTTCGAGTATATTGTGTAGCTATCGAATATCTTTCTACTCGAATATTTTTTGAATGACTATCGAATAGTTCGATAGTTACTATTCTATATTTCCCATCACTACTAGTTATCCTAAAGTTGTTATCAACTCATCACAATTTTTTCTAAGAAAATATGACTATTTTGAAATTAATAATATTATTCACTAGATAAATTAAAAGTAGCATTAATGTTCAATTATAAAATAATAGCAAATATTTTCTATATTTGCGTAAATACGCATTTTTTAATGCACATTTTAATTGAGCTAAGTAGAAGTAGACTTTATATGAGAAGTCTCATATAATAAATATAGTTTAATGTTTATAAGCATAAATTGATATTTTTAGCGATTACTTTATTTTATACACGAAATATAATAAAAATATACAACATAGTATAGTACTAATTATAATAAAAAAATTCTAAATGTTTAATGAGTGTTATTATTTCTGATTAGTATTTATACTAGATAATTTAAAAGAAGCATTAATGTTTAATTGTAAAATAATATCACATATTTTTTATACTTGCGTAAATACGCACCTTTCTTTATACATCTAAATAAATGTTATTTACCCAATATAGTAAATTTTACCGAAAATAAAAATTGTATGTTTATTTGTTAAACAAAGAAAAGAGTACCATTTATTAGTATAAAAAGGGAAGACATTTTTTCTCTTTAATCGTATTGTGCATGAATAATCATTTTTCCAAAATGTTTAAACTGTCTTTATTTTCTTTACTTTGTATATGTGGTGATATTAATTTTAAAGTAACGGCCATAACTGTTTCTGAATTTAATACTTTGGTGCAACACCCAGGCTGGAGAAAATTAACAACGCATAGATATGCTAATGAATTCATATTCAATGGTCTGAATTTTGAAGATACTTATAAAGAGTTTACTTTAAGTGAAATTTTCCCACGTGATTCGAACACTAATCTTATTACAGAACAGAATTTTGTCGATAGAGTATGGCAATTCCATTTGTTATTGAGCGTTCACTATGCTATTGATCTAAAAAATCTAACCAATTTAACGAATGATTTCTGGTTCCATTGTAAAAATGACTACAAAGATGATTTGCAAATAAAATGTCTAAATATTTTTAATGAAAAATTTAAAATTTTTTACAGAGAATTGGAAAAGATGGAAAATTCATTACTATATTTTAAAGAAATGGTTAATCCACTAATGTTTGACATTGAATGGATACTCTTTATGAATGGAATTGAAGTTCCTTTACGTAATTTGAAAGCGATAGGATCAACAAAACATCTTCCAACAGATAAAGTTTTTGAAGATATAATAAACGATGTACGGGTTGGAATTGAAAAATTTTTTTTCAACCGTATTAGTAATTTAAACTTTTCTGCAAATAAACCAGACGCTGCCATTTTTTATAATTGGTATAAGAATATTACAATAGCACAACAAGACAATGATAAACCAATTAAAGAAAGGTATCATACAAGTATTATGAATCTTATTGAAAGTAACAATGGTTTCGGTTTTAAATACAATCCAAATACTCTTGCAATCACTCTAAGCTAAACAGATAATTATCTGGAGTCAATTGGAAGCTTAACATTATAATAAGTAAACATTTTTCTATATTTTAATTAAAAATAAAATGCAATATGATTTTACCATTATTGAAATTTGATTTATTAATAATAATATTATCTTTATTATACAAATATTTTGTAACAGAAAATTGTATGGAGTCATTTGGAAGCTTACCATTATAAAAAGTAAACATTTATCTTTGGACAATATTAAAATTTTAATAATTAATAATAATATTGTAAATGTTTGTTTTATTGGAAAATAAAATATTTTAAATTATTAAGTTTTACTTTATTTTTAATTTAAAAGAAACCTTATAGAATATATAATCTTTTTATCTATTAAAAGCCCATGTACGACAATAATATGAGAGAGGGTGGTAATAAGAGGAACAATATCTCCTTAGATAATCCATCGATAATTTAATCATTTTACGATCAATAACTTAATTTTTTTTTTTACTTGCTATGTAGCCAAAAATAAATTAAATAATGTAATGTTCATCATAATAATTTGAATAAAACGCTACTTATAGTAGTTAATATCTAAACAATAAATTATACCTTACGTAACTATATTTAACATCATGAAGTAAATAATATCTCTTTTTTAAAAATACTATTTATTCATTAACACTCTTTAACATTACTTATCGTATTTGAAATTAAACATATGTAATATATAAATCCCATTACCGTATCAAATTGTTATTTTGCCCACAAAATCTAATAAGTTATTTTATATATTTCAAAAAAGAGCTTCAAGTTTTGCTCGTGTTGTGTGAAATACTTGAGAAACTAAAATTACATTAAATTCATATTTATCATGCAAAAGGAAATTTTTTAGTGAGCAAAAAAGAGAAGGTTATCAAAAAAACCCAGGACTCAAACTTTTGAATACATCTCTGATTGATATTGTTAAAATACATTCAATAGAAATTTAACTAAAATGTGTTCCGTAAATAAAGAAGCAGGTTATTATTGTTCTCTTTGTTAGTAACAACTGACCTATTTTATTACTTTTTAAATACTTTGTATATGTATAACAAAGTATCTCGTGTTAGTACAGATAATATTTAAAATACCTAACTTAAGTTAGGGAATTAGCAACAATGATATATGAAATTATATTTTTAATTTTGTTTAAAATACCTGAGAAATAAAAACTACATTTAATTTACAATAATTAATATTTATATAAATATTTACTACCAAACGGTTATTTTGCATCTAAAAATATGGGGTTTGCCCCTTTTCTTCAAAAATAACCTTTCCGTTTTCTTTCAATTATTTTTCCGTTAGTATAATATTATGAAACACAGCATCGATGTTTTTTTTTAATAAAATTCTCATTTAATTAATCATAATGGTTATTTTAAATTTAAAACAAAGTATTTATTACTATTCTTCTCCTATGAAGAACTATTCATTTATCAACAATTATATTTGTTGATAACAACTATTCTTCTTCCTCGCCTATGAAAAAGTATAACAATTTTTAATATTTTTTTATTACGAAAATAATTTTACATTATTTTTTAATATTCGTATGATGTTAATTTAACGTAATCCGATTCAATTTTAAATAGCCCAAACAGCTACCTTAGTTGTCTTTGTTTTGTANTTTAAATAGCCCAAACAGCTGCCTCAGATGTCTTTGTTTTGTAAAAAACACAACTGTGATAGGTAACCAACAAATATCTCTGGTAAATCGTTCATTGCCGTTGGACTATACACGCCCGGGGCTCCTTCAGACAATCATTGTTTGGCCAATGGTTCAACTAATTTCTGCACTGTATCCAACTAATGTCGTTGCTAGTACTCGTCTTGTAATGATAGCGACGACGCCGCAATGTGTAATCGTACAGACAATGCGTTGCGCCCGAAGGTCGATTTCCTCTCCTTTTTTTCTTCACAATTCTTTTTAGACATGCAGGCCACGTACATCGATCGTCTTACAAAACAGAATGTCTCCCCCTGAGAATACCAAATAATATCCATCGACAGCAGTCTTCCAATTACGTCAAAGCCTTTCAATATCGTATTTGTAGCAGACCGAAATGTCTGGTTGGGTTTGTCCAAAAAATCTTGCACAATCGTTGACCTACCTATACTTTATCTAATATACAAAAACCAACTTTTATTGATATTATCTCATTTGTATTGAAACAAGTAGATTGAATGTTCATCGACCGTTCTTTTAGTACGAATAATTAGTCGAAATTAACAATATTTAGTTAGATACATTTTGTTCGTTTATAAAAATTCATTTCTATTTTTATATTAAGTATCTTAGTACGATTGCAAGGTAACATGCACATCGAATCATAATAACCGATAAAATGCCTTAAATACTTTCACAAAATAAGTAAAATGAATAAATAATAATAATAATAATAATTTAAAACCCAACCCTCAATAATTTATGAAAAAATACAACTAATAATTAATTCATTTACCTATTAGTTGCCATTAAAAGTTTAAGCTTAAAAGTACGTTTTTCTATTTATTAATTTACACTTAATAAATAAGCACGAGATAAAATGTTTCACAGCCAGTTTGCAACTTTTTCTTGATTTGAAATATTTACATTAATTCAGCAATTAAAGTATATTTTTACAATGTATAACCGGTTGCTTAGTTAAGTTGCATTGCAAATTTAATTAGTTTTTCAGTACAACATGTAGTACAATAAATAATACACGCGAGCTTGTAATAACTTTAAAAATTATGCTGTAATATTGAAACTTAATAAAGTACGAGCTATTTAATTTGAATATTCGACGGCAAACTGATCAATTTTTCTTATCTATTAGAAGCCTAACATTAATCAATTTAAACTAAATGGTAAAGTAGGAAATCCGTAGGCAGAGTACAAGAAGATGTACTAGATAATTATAGCAAAATTCACTAGATTTAAATAGAAAGTAGGCGGACTCCAATTAAAAATCAATATAAAAATCCATTCTCATTCTACAATAATAATTATTTACACCGCTGAAAAAAAAATACAGCAGAATAATTAACAACTCTTGGTTAATACTCTTGGTATTGGTATGTAACAATGTAATTCGATTTCTTACAATATTATAATTGTAGAAAGTGTATAAAGTTGCATCAAATATGTAGAAAGGAATATTTTATCACGTAAGTATAATTATTGGTTTTGTTTTAAAGTAAAGAACTCATAAATTACCAAATGCGACTAGATGACTAAAAAGTGTACTCGCAGTAATTTAGTTCGATATTATATAAAAATTAATAATAATTATTAAAGCGGAACGAAATATTTCTACAGAGTTTATTTAGTTTGATAAATAAACAATCACTCTAGTCGTACGAAAACGTGTATTTTATTTTAATTACTGGTAGTGTTGTAGTTAGAAACTGACTTGGGCTTTTGTTAGTTGAATTGTTTCTAACCGACTAGAAATCACTCCAAATATTTTAATAAAATTTTCAGATTTCAAACATTTTTTAGTGTTTTTTACATTAACTACAAACTGAAACAATATTTATATATTTTTTTTACGTTTTCTTTTGACATTCAAACGATGGATATAATAGCTTTTATTCGTCCCTAGTGTAAAATTACAAAACTGTTAATTAAAAACTTATTGTGCAGAAGCCTTTTATTTCTCCCCTTATATTTGCACTAACCCCCTATTTGAGATAAACACAGAAAGAATGTGCAGAAATTAAAATGCAAATTATATCACAGATAGCATGATGAACCTGGTACAGATCCAATGGGAAATAACTTTTGCAAAACAGTTTAAACTATTTAAGTTCTGCATACGTGTAATATTATCTTATTGGTCAAATATTTTTCCCCCGAATAAAGTTTTTCCATAGTAGCTCTTTTGCGATTAAAATTAAAAATTCTTTAGTGTTTTAAATGCTGCTTAGTTCTATAATGTTGACTCATGTTTCTTTGTTAGTGTTATATTTACTCGTAAATCCAACTCTCAACTATACAAATTAGTACAGATGCTTAAAAAACAACTAAAATGAGTTTCATTTCATAATGTTTGTATAAGCCTACTTAAAAAAAACAAATTGCAAATAGATTGAAAATTATTGAAAGAAATATCTGAAATTTCTTTTAAATCGTTCGTCATTTCATAAACTTTTAAGGGAAATAAGTTAAACGAAATTTAAATTTTAAAAATTTTTGTTCTGTTTAATAATAACATATAATTAATAAATTAATCTTTATGTTAACTGTCTATATTTATTATTAACAGATACGTTTTTTGTTCGGCTCAATTGAGCATTAATAATACAAATAACATTGTTGTTTACCTTGTGTTGATAGAACAAGTGCCTAATAGGATTTAAGATATACCAGAATGGTCCTAATCTTTTCTTGCGATCCCAACCAAACCTCATCGTTAGATAGACATAAGAATATATGTGTATCGATGCGAGGATTTATTCTCATCTAAAATAATAGTACACTCATCTATGCATAGATAATTTGATTAAGTACTAAATACTTATATTGAAACACATTAACTAATTAAACATAAACTTAAAAAAAATAATAATCAAGATATTCTGAAAAACGTTAATTTTAATAAAGTATACTTAAAGGATCCTTGTTTTTAAGCCATAAAAAAATTATAATAAAGTATTGTCATTGAAAAAATGTTTAATTGATACCCCATACCAACAAATGGTTTGTAACACTAAAATCTTGTATAAAAAAAAAACCCCCAGCACAGTCGGGTCGTAGCACAGTGGTGTAAACACAGTAGTGTTTAATTTTAAGAAATTGGTGGACTATTCCAAAAGCTACATGATCTGATATTTTTTTATTAATATCCTGAATGTNGGACTATTCCAAAAGCTACATGATCTGATATTTTTTTATTAATATCCTGAATGTAAAAGGGATTATTAAAAAATATTATTTCTCATAAAAAAATTGTGTTGATCCATACACTTTTCAATAAGTTATAGCATTATAAAGTTAAAAATGTAAAAAATAAAATCAAGAATTTTCAGACAAAAATAGCACTCGGGAGCCATATTCACCATGAAAACAATTCCAGAGGTCAAATTTTTTTTTCCATCATAAAGTACATTACATTAGCTTTAATTTAAGATATATATAAAAATATCAGACCTTCCGGAACATTTTCAAATGTTAAGTTGAAAAAGTTAAT